GCTGTTTCACATTAGCATTAGTGACACATGCATGATTATAGGAGACTGACCAATCAGCACACAGCAAGAGCTGAGTGCTCAAGTGAAATCCAGGTCCGCTTAATTGAAATGGTCATTTACAATTCCTGTCCTAGCTCAGAGTGTCCTCCCTGACATGGATTATCTGGTCACCCTATGTTCTGTCGATATATGCTGCCTTGTCGAAAAATGCTACCGTAGTGCTAATCGATAGCCCTAACCCTAACTCTTACCCCAACCCTAACCATAACCCCCCACAACCCCTAAAACCCTTACTTTAAACGTAACCCTAATCCCTAAAACCTAACCCTAATCCCAAAACGGTGGAACAGCACATGCGCAGAAAGGCTCGATAACACGTCTCGATAGGTAGTATTTTATGACAGAACACCCCGCACAAAGTTTGCAACGAACGACAATGTTCTTTTCATCTTTACCTGACACAAAGTCGAAATAATGACTATACTTCCAGCTGCTGAAAGTACACCTCTCGCCCTCTCGATCATCCTCCATGATTTATTTAGCTTTTTGGTTAGTGGTGAGCATAATCTAGTCTGATCTGTCGTGCGTTTACGTCATCGTAAGACCTATTTAGGACAAATTACTGATTGTGTTCACCCATAACGCGGTAACGCTGTGTTACGGAATAACGGTAATATTATTAGTGTACGCTATATAGTGAAATAGTTCCCCTTACACTTGCCATTACTGTGAAAAGTAATAATATTACTGTATAATACATTACTGAGTAACGCGTTACTGCCCAACGCTGTCAGCCAGCAAACAAGCAACACTCCCACTTTCACAAAGAGCCTCTTTAACATACTGGTCACAGTCCCCCTATGAATATTGGACAGTATTAAACCATTTATCCGATGCCAATAAGAAGGATGATGCTTAAGAAATAGAAAAAAAGCATGAAAATATTTTCATTTACAGTTGTTCACTCAGTTTTCCAATGCTTAACAATATATTTTTTTTTAAATCTGCAGTTTATGAAATACATGGAAAAATGGTAAAAATCTGTGGTGTGTAAAACTTTTTACGGGTATAGTGTATGTGGAGCCTGGTGGCCAGTCTTCACTGACTGCACGTTCCATCAGTAACAGCAAGCGTGAAGGTTGAAATAGCAGAGCAATAGCACAGCTGTACATAAAATATTCCAATCCACACAATACAATGAGTTCAAAAGAGGACAAACTGTTGGTGCGCATCTCACTGGTGCATCTGTGACGAGGACAAGAAGTCTTTGTGATGTATCGAGAGCCATTGTATCCAGGGTAATGTTGCCATACCACAGTGAAGGACAGACCATGTTCACACGGGGTAACTGTGGAAACTGTCTGAAAGGGAAGTCCGGGCACTAACCCAGACTGTATCCAAAAACATAAGACCACAGCTGTTTAACTTATTGCAGATTTAAATGCACACCTCAACTCTTCTGTTTCCACCAAACCTGTTCATCAGGAGCTCCGCAGGGTCAATATTCCCGGTCCAAACTTTTGGTTATTCATGCCAATGCCAAATGTCGGTTTCAATGGTGTCAGCAGTGCAAATATTGCACTTTGGACAATACTGTCCTCTGATGAGTCCATCTTCCTGTCTTAACCACATCCAAGAGTGTTACATTGTGGAGAAACTCCAAAGAGGCTTTCCACCCAAATTGTGGCATATCCTGAGTGCAGCATGGGGGTGAATCAGTGATGATTTGGGCTGCAGTAACGTAGTGTTCCCTATGCCCACTACTTATTCTAGATGGGTGCGTCACTGCCAAGGACTACCGAAACATTCTGATGGACCATGTTCAAACATTGTATCCTGAAGGCGGTGCCATGTATCAGGATGATAATGCACTAAAACGCACAAGACTGGTGACAGAGAGGTTTGATGAGCATGAAAGTCTCCTATGATCTCCCATGGCCTGCATAGTCACCAGATCTGAATATTACTGAGCCACTGTTTTCGACGGGCTAGTCAGGAAACATTTTCCTCCACCAGCATCATGTAGTGATCTAGTGACCAATTCTCAAGACAAATTGATGCTACATTGGCCTCAAAAAGAGATCCCACACCATAGTAATACATTATTGTGGTCTAAAACTGGGGGTTTCAGTTTCATTGTCCAACCCCTCTACATTTATTTGTGAAATGTAGGCCTAAATGTAGAAAGAGTATATCACACTCAACCTCAATGAAATTTTTGCTGTTAACATGTGCTTCCCCGTTCTACAGTCCAGGAACAGAGCCCGTCTGGGTTCATCCTGCAGCAGTATGTTCTGATGGTGTTTATGGATGGTTGCTCACCAAAGCTGTTCCATTTAGTAATCAAGCAAAGGCTCATTTCACCCTTCCAAACAGCTGCTAATGAAGGTATCCTTTGTTTACTTGGGTCTATTTCGGCAGTCTGAGTATCACGCTCTCTGGGTGAAGATTATGTGCTACACCGTATACCTGCTGCCTTCCTCTCCTGAAAAACAACATACATCCCACCCACCCCCAGAACATTAGCTGACTAACTCTTCATTCATTTTTCCATCGATTTTCAAAACTGCTCATCCAAGCGTGGGTTGTGGTTACTGCTGATCTTAGCAACTAGAAAGTACCCTGATCCCTCATAATGACTGCATAGAAGCATAATGTCACCACTGCTTTTATCTCCTCATGTGCAAACCTTTCATTTTCACTCCAGAAGTCATCAGCAAGTTGCCTGTAAAACCTTGTGAATAACAACCTGAGATTTTTTGAGATTATTAAATAAAAACCCAGTACAAACTAATTCATACAGAAAAAATCATTTCTGCCAAGTTTGTCTTTTAAGGAGTAGACAGATGGATGACAATAAAAACTAAGTACACTGTCAGAAAAAAGAGAACGAATTTGTACCTTGGGGCTGTAACCTCAAGGGTCTGCCAATTGTACCCTAACTGTAGGTAAATGTACCTTTTAGTCTAAATTAAGGTACATAAATGGACTCTGGGGAACATCCCCAAGGTACAAGCAACATTAATGTACCCCCATTTCTGTATCTTAAAAGGTACAATGACCTACAGCTAAGGTTCAACTGGCAAGCCCTTGAGGGTACAGCCCCAGTGACAAGCAAAGGTACAAAGTGGTACTCTTTTTCACATGTACAATGTAAAATATATACCAAGGTATTAACACGGGAAACTATGTCTCTGGGTCAGGAGACTGAGTCTGGAGGGTCTTCACCTCAATCCTTGTGAGCCAGCAGAGTAATCCTCACTGCTGTGACCTTCAGCAAGGCCGTTGGCCCCAAGATCTGTACCAGGCACCAGATATATGGCTGCTGTAGTGTCTTGACAGCAAACCTTGTGTCTCATAGCAGAGCAAGATGGTATATATGCAAAAACCAAGTAACTGATTGATCAAAAAGCAAATTAAGCTGTGATTTTGCCTGTATCCATTAGCTCTTTTGGAGAGGAGATGGTCTATTTTGCTTTCTAAGGCTGTGATTTTCTTTCTTTCTTTCAATGCACTTCAACAGTGCAAAAAAAAGCTGTCAACATTCAAAGGCGTTTTCATACTTCAAAATTTAATGTTGAAATTATTACACGAAAAGTACTGTTCTATGGGTTTTATGGAGACAGACAGGCTGAGGTCTGTAGGGCACATAATCGTAAGTAACGCCAGATACGTCAGCGAGTAAAATCCCCGTAAAATCAGCTGAACGCTATGCTGATGCAAGCTGAACGTTTAACCAAACAGAAGTCGGCGCCCAGGAGATAAAAGGCATGAGATAATGCACTAAAAATGATTTTCGGATTAAATATTTACCACTGCATTCATCCATCCACCTATCCATATTCCAGCCATGTATCCAGGTCAGGTTGCGTTAAAGTGTAGTTCAAATGAAGGGTGACAAACTGAGAATTTAGCCAACGCTACAGTCTCTATATAATGTCCTAATTTATGTATGAATTATATTTTCATATTTGATTTCATATTATATTTTTATATTTTACTACATATACATGAAAAATCTCAAACCCGGCACGCGTTTGAGTAATAACTAAACCACACCCCGGCGCTATACATGACCAGCCCCTTTATGAACCAATCAGAAAAGGAGAATAACGTATCATCCAATCAATGGGCAGGGGGCGGAGTTTTTATTTAACCGCTTCACAGCAAAGAGGAAGTCGACTGCCAGGGTGAAGAGTTGGGAGGACGGGGAAGTGTACATTGGAAGGGGTCTTTCTTCAGCTTGACAGGTGATATAATATTTGCAGCGATGTCGAAAAAGAGTGTTAATAATCATAGGATTTTCTGACATGTTTTAACTGTGATCGACACATAAAGTTTCACGTGTTGGCGTGGCTGACCCACAGCTAGCCGGTCGGCTAGCCAGTCTCCTAGCCGGCTGGTGTTGCGTACCTGTTCAAGACACAGTAACCTTTCATTAACGAAGTCATTAAGCAATGGGATTTTCAGTGGCTACGTGCTGCGATCCAAACTTTCCCTGGTCAAAAGGATATATGGTGTATGGCCAGTTCATTAACTGATCACGCCGTACTTTCCAGGGAAGTTCCTTAGTAAAGCGTAATATTCACGTGTTCTGCTAAATTTGTGCAATTTATTCGTTTATAACGAGGGTTTGTAGGAACTCTACATTCCATACGGTATTTACAGTTGAAGTCATGAAACTGGCGTGGCGATCATACATTTTTATTCGAAGCAGTTTGGCTATATTGTATGTACTACAAATAAAGTGTAGGCACAAGATAAGAATTTAAACATGTTTTCTGTTGTTGACCAGATGACCCTACGTATTCCCGATACTATGTATTTAATTCTTTGCCTGCTTAAATTTAAGAGCAACGTTATAGGCTTGACATTAAACAGCTGCCAGCATATAACGAAATTAATTTTGCTCCCGGTACATTTACTTTCGGAATGACTTGATTTATGATTTTATCAATGAGGAAAGAACCCGCAGCTCTTACCAAAAAATAAAATCAGGAAAGTAACTATTTGATTTTAAATTTTTTTCAGAACACTGCAATCAAGACTGAGAGCCGTAATATTAGTTATATGTCCTAGGTCCCAGTACTGAAATGTCTGGTACTGTGGCTTCATGGATCCTGCGTCGTGCTCAGAGTAAATCCCTCACAGTTTCCTGCGGCCAGCACAGACTGTACTCCAGGATCAACCGCCCACCTCCTCGGCCTGTTTCCCGGCCCAGAAGGATTCGGGCAGCCAGGTCCTCTTCCAGCAGTAGCCCTGAGTTTAACGATGGTAGAGCCCCCTCTTCCCAGAGGCAGTCTTCTCTTGAGAAGGTGGACTTCCGGTTGACTGGTGCGCAGATCAATGGCCTTCTGCGGGCGAATGAGCAGACCGTGCGGATCCCCGAGTTCGATGGCCGGGGCCTTAGCCCCGTGCTGCGGTTCGAGAGCAACCAGCTGCCGGCAAACGCGCCCAATGAAGACCGGCGCAGCGTCGCCACCTGCCTGCAGACCAAGGGCATGCTCTTCGGCGTGTTCGACGGGCATGGTGGCCATGCCTGTGCCCAGGCGGTGAGTGAGCGTCTCCTCTATTATATAGCAGTGGCTCTCATGCCCCGGCAGAGCCTGGAGGAGATCGAGTACGCCATGGAGAACACCAAGCCCGTCCCGCCCATCCTGCAGTGGTACAAGCACCACAACGACTACATCTACCGGGAGTCGGCCTCCCTGTACGTGGACCACCTGCGGGTCTTCTGGCAGGAGTTGCTGGAGAACGAGGAGCACGGAGACGGCATGGACCCCCTTGACGCCCTGGCCTACGCCTTCCGCAGGCTGGACGCTGATATCTCCCTGGAGGCCCAGGTGCCACTGGACAGTGAGCTGATGAGGAGCACAGCCATCCAGGTGGCGTTTGCTGGCTCCACCGCCTGTCTGGCACACGTGGACATGGAGGGCATCCTGGTGGCCAATGCCGGTGACTGCCGGGCGGTGCTGGGTGTGCAGGAGGAGGACGGCTCGTGGAGCGCCCTGCCGCTCTCCCGGGACCACAACGCCCGGAACGTAGCGGAGCTGGCGCGGCTCAGGTCCCAGCACCCCAAGGCGGAGGAGGCCACGGTGGTGCAGGACGAACGGCTCCTGGGCATCCTGATGCCATTCAGGGCCTTCGGGGACGTGCGCTTCAAGTGGAGCAAGGAGCTGCAGCAGAGCGTGCTGGAGAACAGCTGCGACCTGGATTCCCTGGACATCTACCAATACACTCCGGCCAACTTCCACACACCGCCCTACCTGGAGGTCACCCCGGAGCTGACCTATCACCGGCTGCGGCCCAAGGACCGCTTCCTGATCCTGGCTTCAGATGGGCTGTGGGACATGCTGAGCGACGACGAGGCCGTGCGGCTGGCCGCCGAGCACCTCACCGGGGTCCACCTCCAGGCGCCGGTGTCGGCCAGCGAGCGGCAGATGAACCTGGGTCAGATGCACAGCCTGCTGCTGCACCGCTGTGCCGTGCCCTCCCTCGACCTCAACTCCGCCACGCACCTCATCCGGCACGCCGTCGGCACCAACGAGTACGGGGAGCTTGACCAGGAGCGCCTCTCTGCCATGCTGGCCCTACCCAACGACCTTGCCAGGATGTACCGTGACGACATCACAGTCACCATTGTCTACTTCAACTCCGACCTCGCCAAGGCCAGAGAGGATTAATGGGAGCCGGGGACCCCGTGCCCTCCGTAGAACTTTCCGGGGCTTATTGGGGCAATTCCTTTCTTCCATCTAATCTCAGTTTGTGGGATTAGTGTTAAGTAGCCTAAGTTGTGTTTTTACAGTACAGAAAGCCTTGGCTTCGGATAGATGTTACAAAATTGTACTGCAGCTTACTGTCACTCTCGTTGCCATTACCCACATACATTCTTGTCCAATTCATCCTGTTGAATAGACAGTTAATTTAGAGGAATCAGCTGTCACTCACCCTCTCTCTGATGGACGGAGCTGGATTTGAAAGCGAGCTGACACTGTACTGAAGTGCAGTCGGTCTTACTTAGGTCTGCATCGGCACTCTACTGTTCAGTGCATTGCCTTTACCAATAAGTTTCAGTGGCTGCAGATGTTACGATTGTGATTGGTCTATTTGGTCACATGTGACATCAGTATGACGTACCTGAAGGGTTTTTCTGAGTAGTATTATAGTGATTAATAAATGATAAATCTTAATTTATTTCTCTTTTCATGACTTTTAGATCGTTATAACTTTAAGATTCTGCTGCTACTTAAGGTGGACACATCACTCCAAGGATAGTTAGGATGGCTCAATAGAAGAGGTGCATGTCACATGATTTGTTATGTGGATCGTGATTTGCTAGCAGGGAAACTCAAACCAGCGGGATCAGTAATTCCAGATTCTCATTACTGTTTTTTATTTTTTACTGAATGTTAATGACTTTTTGCTTGCACTGGCAAAAGTACCCAGTCCAACTCGGATTATTAGTCTATATATTGGAATAAGAATCCTTTTCTTTGGGTTTTTGACCTGTCTTTTAATACTTGGACACTTTCACTGTTTCTAATATGAAGAACATTGTACATATAATCTTTTAAATTGTTTTAAAAAAAACTCAGTGTAACTTACTTATACATGTTGCTCTATGTATGTTGATTTACTTGCCAGAAGTTGTAGTCATGTAATCTGTTGAATGTGATTTAAATCTGTGTAGTACAGGTGAGACATAGAGGAAAACTTGGTGTATATAAATTTAGTCCATCATACATAGAGAAATACTGTAGACTCCTGAATGTTGGTTTTCACTTAGACGTGTTTCATTTGTTGTGATCGTTTGGTTATACTTTTGCAAGGGAAACGTACATGGAGGTTGTATGTATTTGAAGTATTTTTTACACGTTTTTGTGTGTCAGCTTTGCTGTTTCATTGCTGTCTCTGTTAGGGTGAGCATTTGTCTCCATTGAAACATTGTTTTAGATTGTTAATTTCATTTTTTATCAGTACTTTACGTTTCACTTTATTTTTAAACCTCATTGAATTCTAACTGGCTAAATTGTTTCAAGTGATGCGTTTTGAAAGTAGTCTTTTGCCAAAATTTGCCTTTCATTAATGTTTTCTATTTAATACTAACATTTAACAGAATAAACATGATTTTAAAACAAAAAAACCTTTCCTGATATAATAAATTAGCGCCGATTAACTGTTGTAATGAAGCATTCCACTTGAGGGCAGTATTGGCCACATTTTCCAGCTGAAACGACCATCAATCCTGCGTTCATAGTACGCAAAAGGAAGTTCATACACGTATATCAAGAATCATGCACTGGATTCTGAAAGTAAACAATGGAAATGGATAATCCGGAAAACTTTAAATACTTTAATTTTTATGTGCAGACTACAGCTTTATACAAGTGCAATTGATGATACTGATTGAAATACTGGTATGAAGGTCCAAAAATGCTGAAAATATGTATTGTTGCTTACCACTTGATTTCTATCCAAACCCACAATCTTTGAGGAAAAAGTCCAGATTCGCGATTACCAGCAAGTGGACAAGTTGGAGTTGACAAGTAAAGTAAGAAAAATATAGAACCACATCAATATCTGCACGAGTGGTGTAATAATGCATGCAACTTCAATTTTGCGTTTTCAAATGACAGTAACTGCAGGTGAAAATGTTGGCAGACACCAACCTGAATTGTCAGAATGAGGATGCATACTTATTTTTGGTAGAGTAACCTAACACTCATAGAGTGGGAGTCAGTAAGACAAAACCTGTTTCGTACAGATGCAGTTTGGAAGAGGCTCGGATTTGCCTACCAATCAGCCCATAGTCTCGTCTGTCAAAAACCTGAGCAGAAAGCAGAATCTTGCTGGACACATGGGGATATTCTGTTTGTAGCTCTGTAAATAATTGATGAACCTGGCCGGCTTGGATATATGTAACACACCTTCTGAGACAGGTTCCTCAGAATAGCATTCAAGGTGTTTCCTTAAGGCTGGAGATACCTGAGCAAGCACAAAATGTAGAAAATCAGTCAATTGCATGTAATATAAACTGCTTTAGCTGAAATAAAAATAGCTCTGTACCATATTTTAAGCAGCAAATATCTTTTATTTATGGCGGTGTTTTTGAAACACAGACGTTTCATCTGACCTTGATGAATACTGTATTTCATTATAGGTTTTGTACAAATATATATTTTCTATTTCTGGTCTTCTGCTTGATGCAAACAGGAAGTTGAGCATGGAGACATCACTGGCTTAAAAATAAAATGATGAATTTCAATTTTGCTGACAAATAGATTCACAGGCGTAATCACATATACTGAATTTCCATTGAAATGTTTCATACTCATTTCAGCATTTTATCTCCACATAATACTAACCAGTCCAGCAATACCATCCATCCTAGGACTGGGTTCTGTGTCCATAAATTCAGATTTCGAGAGTCATGCGAGCATTTGAGTATGAGAGCATGGCCTGCTCATTTTTTGCCATGGTAACAGGAGTTGTGAGCTCATTCTCTAGTGCAAGCACTTGTTACCTCACGAGTAGACTACTGCAACTCTCCACTAACAGGCCTATCAGCATGTGCTATCAGACCACTGCTGATGATTCAAAATGCAGCAGCACGTCTGACATTCATCAGCCTGAACGTTCTCATCTCACACCCCTCCTTGTCGCTCTTCACCAGCTCCCGATTGGCACTAACTTAAAGTCCTTGATGCAGACTTTCAGGTCCATCATTGTACAGGCACCCATCTCTATCAAAAGGCTCCTCAAGACCTACATCCCATCTCACCCCTTTCAGCCAGCAGACCAATGTCGCTTGGAGCTGCCTTCACCACGTGAGAAATGTCACTCTAGATGGTTCTAATGTGGTTCTAATATGGTTCCCTGGTGAGCTGCAGAACCACATCCAGTCATCAGACTCCCCTCCCATCTTGTCATTGGAATTCACCTTCAAGAAACACCGCAATGTTTAAATGTTTACATCCAACTGCACTTGTATTAATTGCATTGGTGATCGCATTTACTGCAGCTTATGCTATTTATGGTATTTCATGCCCATGGAGGGTTTATGGTGTTATTAAGTTATGTCCTGTGTGATGTCTTATGTCCAAAATTGTTCATATGTTAATTTTTCTTCTACACTGCAGTCTAGTTATACCTGAGTTTACATTTTTAATTACCTGTTATGTGTTAATGCACCAAAAAAATTTGTGTAATAAAATAAAGGAAACTAATCTAAAAAGACCCATCTGTTCTATGAATTTATCAACTAGCCTGGTGCCTCTTTACATTCCCTGAGTGTTCTTATGTTGCATTTCTGGTCCTTGAATAATCTTATTAGGTCCTTGCTTTGTTAGATACGGAGGATTTGCAGTGCGGGCCCAAAGAGTACAGAAGCTGCATAGTTGCACCAGTGTGTCTCCTTCTGGGTGCGTTTGGCATTGACTGCTGATGTTTAATAAATGCTCACAGGTTGTAAACGTGATAATGAGGGCAGCAGAGAGGATCATGGGGGCTCCTCTCCCACTCTTCACTGAACTACAGTGTTGCTGACCACAAGTCCCTGCACTGGATAATGAGGACAGCAGAAAGGATCATGGGGGCTCCTCCTCTCCCACTCTTCACTGAACTACAGTGTTGCTAACCACAAGTCCCTGCACTGGATAATGAGGACAGCTGAGAGGATCATGGGGCCTCCTCTCCCACTCTTCACTGAACTGCAGTGTCGCTGACCACAAGTCCCTGCACTGGACAATGAAGACAACAGAGAGGATCATGGGGGCTCCTCTCCCACTCTTCACTGAAGTGCAGTGTTGCTGATCACAAGTCTCTGCACTGGACAGTGAGGACACCAGAGAGGATCATGGGGGCTCCTCTCCCACTCTTCACTGAAGTGCAGTGTTGCTCACCACAAGTCCCTGCACTGGACAATGAGGACAGCAGAGAGGATCATGGGGGCTCCTTCCGCCCATCACCGAACTGTACAGGAAACATGTCATCCGCCATGCAAACATCGTGGTGACAGACCCCCCCCACCCATCCCACAGACCGCTCCCCCGCCTGCCATCTGGCAGAAAGTTCTGGAGCATGTGAACCATCACTTCCAGACAATGCGGCAGCTTCTTCCCTCAGGCAGTCAGGCTCCTTAACACCCTGCTGCTCCCCAAGGCCCAAATCTACCCCCACTTGTCACCCCCCAACCTCAAAGGCTGCCACTGCTCCTATCTACCCTCTAAAGGTGCTGCTATTTGTTGCTTTGTTTGCTTTTCTAAATCACATTTGCACATTCTTTATTTTCACTACACTGCACATTTCCACTACACCTCACACAGGCACAAAATCAAACATAGCTTTGAACAGTATATATATTGTATTTATGTTCATCTAACTCTTGTGTCTAGAAGTTGAGTTAGATGTTGTGCTGCTGTTGCTCCAAAACTGCTCACACTTGTACCTGGGTATTCACTGGAAGCTCAGCCTAGCTGCACTTATGCCTAATTAAGTCCTTGCCAGTACATATGTTTGTATTGTGCTATTTGCCTGACTTGTACGTCGCTTTGGACAAAAGCATCTGCTAAATGTGTAAAGATGTAAATGATATGCATCCCTAATCTGTCAAAAAACAATAAAATACTGTGATCTGTGATACTAAACTACATATGGAACTCCCAATGTCTTCTTCATCATCATTTTCTTCATTTTTCTTCTTCTGATTATTATTATTTTTCTGTCTGTATTTAAGATCACCCAGGTCCATCTTTGAGACTGAGAACTGAAACTCAAATACACACGCACTGGTGAACAATCAGAGCATTTTCTTCTACCACTCATCAGCCCAGGGTTTGAAGGCCAGGTCAAATACCACAAATCACACTGGAATCCATCTGCACTCCATTCCATTGACACGGCATTCTGCAACCATGGTTACGCATAAATAAACCTCCCCCCCCATCTTCCATTCCTCAATAAAAATAATCTGTCACTCTCACCCATCGAAAAATAGACATCGGCCCAAAATACTTAGTGTTCAGAAATACCCCTAGCACACATGCACCATGTTGTCTTTATTTAGCGATGCACTGGAAATGTACAGTCTGCCCCCCGCCCCCCATGGTACAGTACCTACGGACACGTGACATCATCCCCAGCTGGCCCCTCAGCCTTTGTGCTGGGCAGTGGCGTCCCCCATAACCTTCAGCTTATCCAGTGCGGTACATCTGCGAAATCAACAGCAACACCCAGCCTCCAAGGCTCCCTCTTCAGAGGATGGATGTTTCATTAAGGCCTTTGAATGTGTTTCTGGCTCACACAGTCTTTGGAAAGCTGCATTTTCACTAACCACCAACAAAGCCCGTTTGAGAGCCGTGTCCTTGTGCTAGCAAGGCTGAGCGGCACAGGACCATCGGCCAAAGCTTAATGTAACTCTATTTTCAATATTACCATGGCTAACACTTTACTTAAGGCCATGTTTTTAGTAATCTATAACCACATTCATAATGCATCATAATGCATTCATAAAGCATTGTAAACATGGCTAAAACATTTATTAAAAGGCACAACACATCACAGTCATGTTTATAATGGACTATGAATGCTTTATGAAGCTCTCATCTATAATGCACTATAGATACCTTTATAATGCAGTACAAAGCATCACTAATGCTTATACCGACCATTATAATGCATTATAAAGGTATCTATAGTGAGATCCAATCCTAAAAAGTACAAAGCACAAGTACAGGACAGGACACATGACCATCACCAGCCTTTGACACAAATGCACACCAAGTCACCCACAAATTACTAAAACACCTCCAAATGCATCTTAAAGAGGTCAGTCGGACTGGGACCTTTTGCTTTGCAGGAAGATGAAGTTGCTTAGGAGATGTTTGCATTCAAAACAGTTCAAAGATCATGCAATTTATCTGCTTATACATTATTATTATTTTAGGTACTGGGCAGATGAGCCACCAACCTTTTGATTACAAATATGTTTTCTTCCACGGGGTGCAACCAGTAGTTAACGGTCACTGCTGTTGTACCCATAAATAAAATCAATGACCTACATTTCTCATCAGATAAATGGAGGTGGTTTGCACTAAATTGGAGAATAGGTTAATGTAATTGCTTGCATTGGGTCGCACTCAGTAGGAGTCACTGGGTGTTTACCTTCACTGGTTAACATTGTCCAATGAC